TTGGATCGACTCGAGTTGTCTTGATCTTTTAAATGTTGTTGGGGGCGAGCTTGTGGGTGTTGCACCGACTCGCACTCGTTTGTGCTGCGTTGAATTGCGCTTGGCTTATCCAAATGGAAACTGAGTGTACTTCGCTGTGGAGAGGTTTGAAGCAGGTGACGAGTGGTGCTGCTCGAGCCGTGCAGATAAAGCTTATTGGAAAGCACAAACTGCAGTACACAAAGCGATCGTGCCTAGATGCACTTGATTCCTGACGCTTGATCTATGCAGTGCTCGAAGTGCCTGGGACACCTCAGATCGACCACTTCAATACGAGACGTGAGTTCACAAGACCGCTGACTCCTGCAGTGTACACTCACGATCGAACTGAACTGGAGCATAAACAAACTCGGGTGCTGGTTGCATGTATTATTGTAAAGCTATCTGTCTGTGCATGGTCGCAAGTCCATCGACGAAAAAAACACCTCGGCACTCCCCCGACCGGGATAGATGTCACGGCCCCTCAAATCCTGAAATCTACGAAGTGCCTCAGGGAATTAACACGGTGGATCCCCAACTAAACGTATGAATATGTGGTTGCCCTCGTTGTAAAGAGAAATCATCGGCATATCTTGGCCACCGGCTTACGTTTGCAGTCCTGAAAACACAAAGGCCTTTTCGGATACACGCTGCTTCCCCCCCCCCTTCCTTTCCTCACAAACCCTAGCCCTTATCGTGCCACATACAAAAAAAGTGAGCGCATACACTTCCTTACCGGAAAACACCCTTAGAGTCTATATTTTTTTGGTATCTCTAGAAGTTCTCCACGAGCCTGGGAGTCTGTGCTTCGGATGAACGTTGCACGACTTCTTCAACTCTCGCATCAAATGATCATAAACACGTGCAGGAAAGTTAACATTGTGGTGCTACCAAGAAAGTTGGTATGTACTTGAACATTTACTTTACAATCTAGACGAAGAAAAACCAACCGAAAGACGTCCACGGTTCATGTCGCGTGGGATACATCATTTGTGCTGCCCATCTTCAACCACTGTAGTATGTCGGCAGTTTGAATCTGTTGGTGCTGATAGACCGAGTCGGTATGTCGAGCATCAGTCGATGATATCGACAGCTACTTCTGACTGAAGGCAGCACCCGAATCGGCGAAGATAGTATTCAAACAGCGTACCTCGCGATAGTTGGAGCTTTGCTACATACATTGAAGCGGTGTCTACCGGACCTTCATTTGATTTTAGGTTTGCGAGGTCGCTCGCCCCGTCTTAGTTGATCAACTACCGTTGGTAAATACAAATGCAAACTCAATGAATTATCTAGTATACTGGAGTACGGGCGATAAACTATTGACCATGGCGCTGGCGATGGTATTGAGAAGTACACGACAACTTTGCCTAAAAAGTCACCAACATCCTTAGTGCAAATCTGTTCACGACGCCCTGTTTTGCTGTTATATTAAGGCGTTCGACGTGAGAGCTATTAACGCCAGCGCAGAGGCGCATGAATCAAGTCCAGGAGCAGCGGGGTCTTTGCCCTCGGTGCGCTTACAGTCATATAGGGCTGCACGGATACACTCACCATGCAGAAAAGAACCCCACATCGCGTATCCATGTCAAGTTGAAGTGGTCGCGGCGGATTGTGTTATTCGGCGGAACCTCCATTACATGCACAATGCTCATGTACAACCATCATTCCAATCACGAGGATAAATCCAGTAGAACATTCAGCCGCATGCAGTCTTGTCCAGGACGCAACGCCTTATTAGTGAAATGTAGTAACAATATTAGTGTTCTTTTAATATAATTCTAGATCATTTACAACAGATAACACCTTTTGGAGTGTAGTAATCTAAAGTTTATTAGAAGTAGGAGAATTTGTGCCTCTATCCTTTGCAGGCGAAGAACATGGTCGTTCACTGCGAAGCAACTGACTTCCTGGATTTATAGTACCGCAATACTGTACACACAATGCGCGGGTTTGCATGGACGTGCACCGTGTAGAGTATTTCTGCATGGAGAAGGTTCTACTGTGTTTTGCTGGACGACGGACATCGCGGTCTTGTGATCGGAGTAAATCAAGCTTAGACTCATCGCGAGTTCCATGGTAAGCCACACAGTTAGCGTATTCAGTGATTGCTCGGCGCTAGAAGCCAGAAGACTATTTACAAAGTGTAAGGTTTTTGTTGTGTGCAAATTGTTGGTAGAAACCACTTGAACAGCTATAATTGCATACATAGATGTTCGTGAACTCTAACACAACTGAAGTGCGACGTTAGAGTCCTAGTTGGGAGCTGGAGCTGGTGACGAGACAAACGCCCCTCTCATTAGAAATCACCTTTCTATGCAAAGTTGAAGCAGGGCACAGACGTGACAGCAAGTATCGCATTGCACACGTCCGAGTTTCAGCTAGTCGTGCAAGGCCGTCGCTAGTGCAGGACCGACGCATAGCTTTGTCAACTTGAAGCGACTTACACAACACAATCGATTGGGCGGGACAATTCGCTAATCAGACGGCCTACATCCAGGAGCGATTGACACATTAACCGAGCGTAAAGTGTTTCAGAACACACCACACCTCAGTTTCCATTTGGATAAGCCAAGCGCAATTCAACGCAGCACAAACGAGTGCGAGTCGGTGCAACACCCACAAGCTCGCCTCCAACAACATTTAAAAGATCAAGACAACTCGAGTCGATCCAAGCAAGTAACCATGCCGTCCGAAGCACAGACCGACCCGGTCTACTCCGAGGCCACGACGCCCAGAGGTGCCGACAACGTTCCCGTCTTCGACGAGGCCCAGAAGACCGCGGCCAGACAGATCAAACCCAACATGATCATGTACACGAGCATCCTGGTGGCGCTGCTTCAACCCTTCCAGAGCGGTTGGTCGTCGTCACAGACCAACCTGTCGCAGTACAATGACACCGACGAGTGCAGCGCGCGTCCCGTGGCTGAGGACACGTGCCTCATGTTCCCGGGCCACTCGAAGCTCGAGTGGACGTTCGCTGTGAACGCCTGGATCTTCGGTGGCATGATCGGCTCTCTGATCTGCGGCCACTTCAGCGACCTGTGGGGCCGCAAGAAGCTTCTGTTCGTCAACTGCATCTTCATGATCGTGGGTGCAGTGGTTGAGACGTCCGTGTCGAACGTCTGGGCGTTCTCGGCTGGCCGTCTGATCGCCGGTATCGCATCGGGTACAGCCACGGGAACTCTCGGTGCGTACACGAACGAGCTGACCCCGCCGCACATGCGTAACATCTTAGGTCTGGGTCTGCAGATCTCGGTGACCATCGGCATCCTGTTCCCAGCCATTTGTTTCTTCTTCGCCAACACGAGCTCTGGCTGGCGCTACCTGGCTGGATTCCCCGTGATTCTGGCTGTGCTGTTCCTGCTCATGGCTCCGTCGATGTGCGTGGAGAGTCCGGCGTGGCTACTCATGAAGAACCGCCGAGAGGAAGCCAAGCAGGTACTTGCGCGTCTGTACGGCGAGGAGAACGTGTACACTGCTCTGTCGTGGCTCGAGTCGTCGACCAAGCCGGATGCCGAACAGGGTCTCATCCAGGCGTCTGTTGAACAGGACTCTCTGTTCGCACCCAAGTACCGCCTCCAACTGGCCGCCGCCATCCTGTTGTCTTGCGCACAGCAGTTGTCCGGTATCAACGCCGTGTTCTACTACTCCAGTTCGATCTTCAAGGACGCCGGTATCTCGGATCCGCGTGTGGGTACGTTGATCATCAACTTCATCAACATCTGGCCGGCCTTCTTCACGGGTGTGCTGGCCCAGCGTTTCGGTAATCGTAACATGATCTTGTGGGGTGAGGCCGGTATGTTCGTCATGGCTGTGCTGATGACGGTGGCGTTCCTGGTGGACGTGCCTGCGCTGTCCATCGTGTTCACCGCTCTGTACGTAATCGCGTTCGGTGTGACGCTGGGTCCTCTCGTGTGGGTGATCACGGCGGACCTGTTCCCGGATTCGGTGCGTGCCACAGCCACGTCCATCGGCATTGGTGCCAACTGGCTGTGCAACCTCATCGTCGGTGTGGCATACCCGTACATCGCCGACGCTCTGGACGACTACAGCTACCTGCCGTTCGTGGTGCTTCTGGCCATCTTTTATCTGTTGTCACTGAAGTTGGTCCCGGAGACGTCGAACAAGTCTGCGGAGGAAGTGCAGCGTGAGTACGAGGAGCGCTACCGCAGCCGTCAGTAAGGTCGGGGGTGTTTGTGTCTTTATTTCAGCAAATAAAGGTCGATTGTGTTCGTTTTCTTGTTTCTCGAGAAGGGGGGATATTAGGTTATCAGCCTTTAGTTTTGTCGAAGTCAGCCTTTCGCCAGTTGTTTAAATACTAGAGCGGCCACGCGTCGTTGGGGTGATCCCTGATGTATTCATCACTGAACGGCAACTTTCTCTCTTCCAGAATTGATTCCATCATTTAAAGCCACACGAGTCACGTCCGTGAGTTGCTCCTACATGATCAAATCCTGGTAGTCTCCATTATAATCGACGAAGGTCATAAAAATATGGATCGCCCAATGCATCAATCTGGTATTGAAATCGAAGAGAAGTATTGGAACCCAACGTTTACTGTATGTGCGACCGAAAGTTCCGCTCACCCTTCAGGAGCCAACCAAACCAGAAGTCTGCAGTTAAGCTTCTTGTAAAAC